ATATTGACTATATATAAAGTCTTTTTCCCACGGCACACCTTACACTATGTCACGGCACACTAGTGTGCCGCGGCACAGTGGTTGAAAAACACTGGTTTAAAGTATTGGTCTACTGGTTTCCATGCTGCCATGCCTTTTACATTATGAGTGCTGAGACCTATTAATGCCCACTTTATGGACCTGATGAGCTCCACCAATAAGAATAGATTCTGAAGATTCAGAATTCCGAAGATTAAAATGATCAGCAGACTGACTGAGCAGTCTTTAAAAAATAATACTTTTGAGGATTCCGGTGTTTCAGAGGATTGTTGGAGCATAAATTAAAAACAAAGAGAAGTCCTACATTGTGGATAGCAAGCTTTGCTGGATTTTTGTGAATCTGAATTATTCAAGGCAGCTGTCAGGGTGCAGATAAATTGTTCCTCCTCAGCAGCACAATCATACTGGTTCTCAAGGTGAAATTTATTATTCTGAGTAATTAATAGAGCTAAATTTATTAATGGTTTGGCTGTTTTTAGGCTGTTGTTAAGGCTTCTCCAGCCTTTTAATGATATCAGCCTAGTGTGTTCTGACAAGGCACTGAAAGAGTTAATTAACTTTCCTCTTCTGGTTCATTAGACAGCTGTGTTGCTGTGAGTTGGATAAGTTGTTTATTTAAATCTTTCCATTGCAGAGGCTCTGTTGATAAGTGATCTTGAAGTTGTCTGAGTGGGGGATTTTACTTTTGTGTGCTAAAGTAACAACATCTTTATTCCTGCACTGCATTAAAAGTGGACTGACTTCCGCAGAATGGAAAGCGTGAGTTGGGAAGTTTTCATTTTAAAGAGCATGCTGAGGGTTACAGATTGTTTAGGACTAGGCTGTAAATGGTTGCCAAGCCATTTTATCTTTTGTAAGTCCATCCAAGGGTGGGTTCTGGCAGGCACTACTGCCAGTTCACTCGTGTGCATGCATGTGCAGGGCAATTAAAATAGTTCTGTGCATGCGCAGAACCAAAAAAACAAAATGGAGAACTGGTTCAGGGGCATGGCAGGCCTGGGTCACTGCCGTTTCCAGCGACTCAGGCCACCAAACCACTACCGGTTCAGCCGAACTGGTCCAAACCAGTAGAACCCACCACTGAGTCCATCAGTTGTCTTTCACAATGTAGTAGCTGGTTTAAGGTGTGGGTGATGTATTTTTTTTAGACCCCCATCTGCTTCTGTTTATCATTTAGGATTTGCAGAATTATCTTACTGGTTTTGTAAGAGACAAACGCCTTTTACAAACTTCTTGCTTTTCTCTGTACTTACTCCTTATGTTTGTTGCTGTCACTTTTCCTTAGCAGGCTGAATTCAGGGGGGGACAGTTTCCTTTCCTCTGCCACCGTTTGCAGGGCACAATTTAGATGCATCCCATGGATGGGGCTTTGCTTGTTTGCGCAGACCAGTTGCTGGCATGCTGCGGACTGGTGCCATTCCACAGACTGGGGCTTGGGGATCCCTGATGTAACTAACTGTGGAATGCCGCAAACAATTATAAATGCCAGCTGGTTGCCAAGTGCACCAAAAGTGGTCATCTGACTGCCATTGGAACTTCAGAACCTGGTCATAAGTACCCCTAGGAAGATCTGTTATAACTTTGACCAGTTGCTAAGTGACTGGTTGTAAGTTTTAATGTTTATTAGTGAATATATTCAAAATAATATTTTGATATGACTTATTATTAAGTTTTTTATAATTTTCATAATTATTCATTTTAAAAAATGTACAAAACACACATCATAGGACACAGAACAAGCTTTTAAAAACTTCAGAAGAATAAAAATGTTATTTTACTTAAAAATGCATAGAAATCGGTGAATTAGCTAGGACTCCCAAGATCTAAGTCACTTGGTTTTATCATCCTGTGAGCTTAGGCCGTCATATCTGGGTTGCAAATACTTTGATAACCACTGGATGGCAGCAAATTATGTTACCCACATGATTTTCTTAGCTCCTCCATTAGGATTTTTATAATAGCAGTCTTAGTAAAACTGATCCCCACCCCACCTGCCCCCAAGATTGCAACTATCCATTCCTTACTACTTCTCTGGAACAGCGTTCTCAGCCCTTCCGGCTCTATGGAATGCCCACCCACTGCTTGTGCGAATGGAGTTTTGCATGCTTATCCACTGCTTGCGTGGCCCAGTTTCCAACAGTCTGTGGATCACTCCCAGTCCACAGACCTGGGGTTGGGGACCCCTGCTCTAAAATAAGCATTTTATCAGCATAATAACCAAGTTTAATATACATTAAGTCATGCTATTGTGGGAAGTTATCATCCAGCCCTCTCCCAGAAAAAATGAAATATCCTAGGAAATATTGAAAAGGCA